GGGGTTCCATCCTTTTGTTCATAGTCTTTGCTATCCGAAGGAGCTGTAATCACTACATTATCATCACAAATCAAAGGATTAGCTTCCAAATTTTCACAAGAAATAATAGAGAAACCAAAAGGACTATATAATAAAATCTATAGAGAGGTTCATTTTGTTTTTTGATCAACAATATTTAATCCTGGAAACCAAAACAGGTGTATCGGCATCTAATAATTAAAAAGATAACATGATGCCGTGAGAAAGTAAAGAAATTCTTAATGTTGTAAAATTTAGCCTCAAAACACATCCTATAAAACCAAAAAAGCATATCATTCAGCAGAGAATTTGAGAAAACAAAACTAGACAAGAATCTGTATGTCGAATCATTCTGGAGGTCTTATTAACTTAGTTCTGATGGTCTAATATAAATCAGTCACTGATTTCAAGTTTGGAAGACTGACTTTGTGAATGAAAATGGTGACTGGAAGTTATGAGACAAACCTTTTACTGGAGCATTTTCTGGAATAGCTGGTTGTACACCTTCTATTGCTAGCCAGTGGCAAAGAACTGCTGTATCAAGAGGTGCTCTAGGTAAAGGAGCTTCAATTACCTAGAAATCAAACAGAAAATACTGGAAAATCCAGAAGTATTCCACCAAATTTAGCTGAAAGAGGACCTTATTTAGTCAGTAGCACCTTACATCTTTGAAATCCACATCCTTGTCATCAATGTAAAACAAATCTCTATGCCCAACAGCTCTCTTGAACCGTAATGGACCTCCGGATGAAAATCCGTAAATAGGCTGAGGCAATTTAAAGGAACAGAAGAAGATGGAGAAACAAACTTTAGAAGTTGTTAAAGCGATATTAATTCCAAAAGTTGTCTCATGATACATGCATCAAAAGTCTTATTTTTATATTACAAGCACTGCTCTCCAGCAATTATATAACTTGAGATTCAGTCCCTTTTGACTTAAATTAGAGTGCTAATGCTATAAGAGAGGACATTATTTGTGAATCCTGAATTTCTCAATATATGGGTGAACAATGAAATGAAGAAGACAAGGACAAGCCATGGTTAGGATATAAAAACTTCAGATTTATTGGGAATTCCTATTTCCGGAAGAAAATTAGGTAAGCAAAACTTTGGATTTGATTGGAATATTTGCCTTAATAGTTTATATTGAAAATATATTCCCCTTACACTAGCGTGCAACATAGAAGATCCAAACATATAAACTTAGATCACACAATGACTATTAGCCTAATCCTTGTGTTCCTTATGCCACCATAATAACTTATCAAAGTTGAGTTTGACCACTTACGATATTGCCAAATCTCTCTGAGGGATGAAATACAAGAAATTCAAAAAAGCAAATAAATATGAAATGCACATGTTATGTTGTTTTCAAGAGTTACCTCAACATTTCGTAAGGTAAGTGCACAATCAACATCATCTGCTGTCAAAATCGTTCTTTTTGAATGAAGCATGCATTTGATTGCCTCCTGCATATCATGAAAATAAAATATATTAGAGAACCCTCTTCCGACTCAGTTCAATTTAAATACTTTTATCGCCCCTAATTCTACAAACCTCTTTGCCAGCAGAGACTGGCTGAGCCACGAATAATCTGCCAAAATTTTCCACCAAGGCAGCAATAGCCTCAGAACTGAAGAAAATAACATTTGTTTTCCTTGTTCCCTTTTTGTCAAACATCCAATCCTCTATAAATCAATTTTATTTGAGAAACAGTTTTCCCACAAGACATATCCATTATTATATGTACCAAATACAAGCATCTGAGACCTCATTCTGTAATCTCAACCTAGGAAATTGTTTGCATGGTTCCCCTTATATAGTTCCCATGTCTTTGCCCATTGATCACAAGATTATCGCATAAAAAAATTAATTGATTCCTTCGAACTCCTGAGTTCACTAATGCAAAAATACTTTCCTCATATAAAAAACATAGACTAAAAGGGTTTTCCTCTCAAGAACAGTTTAGATGGCTTCACAGCAGGTTATATAAACAACTTTCCCATCTATAAGAAAAAATTAATTCATAAGAACACTAGAAGGAACTGCCAAATCACAATATGTAAGTTATTTACAACAAAATAATTTACAAGGTCAAAAGTTTCACCACATCTACAACTCGTATCATCAAACCGAATTTTAATATGATAAACGATCTACCTCAAAAGTGTGAACCAAAAGAAAAGGCGTCTGGCGGAAAAAATCACCTGCATGATCTCACGCATGCGATATTCAGCATCGGGAGCAAGAGCAAGAGAAGCATCTTCAGACAAGTTGTTAATCCCAATGCTTTGCGCGATGACTTCAATTGTCTCCTTGGGCACAATGCTCATTTTCTAGTATTGCTCTAAATATCATGAACCACCTCCTTTATCCCCAGTTTCTGTGATTATCATTCAGTAGTAGAATGTGAACTTTAAAGCTTAAAAGAAGGCTTTAGATTCTAAAATCTGAAAGTAGCCAGAAAAATTCTTAATTCCGAGCACAAGATGTAAATTTGACAAATATGACTCCATTAACAACAAATACAATCAAAATTACCAAATATCACAGTAGAACTGAGAGGGGGAGTAGGTAAACAAATTTAAAGAATGAAAATTACCACGTCAAATATGTATTACACTAAGCTTAATAAGGTTGTAACATTTTTATTTTTTCCAGTGCAAAAAAACGTAACAGACCGGAAAGGAACTCTTTCTCCTCGCTTTCTTCTTCATCAATTTTCTCGGCAACCAAACAACATTACGACACAAGATTAATGAAATAAAAGAATGCAAAAGAAAAAGGAACAACCAATACGTTTGATTTGAACCATTCATGTGCCGAGGAAGCTTACTGTAGTTGGTGCACAGGAAGTAGAGAAGTTCAGGATCCGACAGATCGTTCGCGGATTAAGGGACCCGAGCATTTTATAGGAAAGAAATCAGTCGGGTTCAAAAGATTAACCCGAATAAAGTTCGGGTTTACGGGTTTGCAGTTTGGACCCTGCTTACGGGCCTTGTAAATTATTATGGGCTCATTAAATATTAGTATTAAAACTCAAGTTTGTCTTTTTTTTTTTAATTTCTAATATAAATTTAATATTAGATGATATAATTTAATCCTTTTAATTCAATTTTCATAAACTATGACGTTCAATAAAAATTTATATATTTTTTATATGCTGTGATGGAGTTCGATTTTAGATTATTAAATATTTCCAATTATTTATTTCTTAAAACGAGTTTCTTTTATCTAATATTAAATATTTTACTACCAAATTTTAAAACAAAGAAAATAAAAAAATGTTTTTTTTTTTTTTTTGGGTATAAGGGTTATGTCAGTCAGTCAGTGTGATTTAAGTTAAAGTCCATATGGTTTTATTGGTAGAAAAAACTAGGTGGGTGCAATAAGCAAACATTATAAGTCATGATCATTGCTTAATTAATTGTCACAAGCATTTTTTTGCAATTTACACAGACAAACCTTAAAAAGTCTCATGGCTTTGTTCCCACTTTACCTTAACGAACACACGAGAAGCTGCTGGTACGTATGTTCTTATCAATATAATTTGGAAATTGGTCATTTAATTCGACAAAGATTAAATAATTTTAAGGATACTATTATTGGTTTATTTATTGAAAAATGTTTAGATCTTCATTAGCCAACCAAATTGCAGCAACCCAAGAGAGGAATAGAGGTAGCCCCGGGAAGAAGAAAACTTTTTGTGAAGCCAATCTGCTGCAAACCACGTGCAAAAAGTAATTAAAAAAGCAACTCTCCAATTTATATAATCTTTCACTTTAAAAGATTTATCAGTCCAGCTCTAAAGTTCTATTTACCCTGCACTTGATTTCTTTTTTTAACATGTGGATTAATTACGTTACGTTTTTTCTTTTTCTGTATCCTTATGATTATTTTGGATTATTATTATATATAAAATAAACCTTGTATTCTTTTCTATATACATATAAGTTCAGAGAATCTCAGTGCTGATCACTGATCATGGATGGTTTCTCGATATAATTGAGGGACAACCCTTTTGAGAATTCTGGGGTTCGGGATTTTCCCAGATGGGAATTACTGGAGAATTATTCAAGGGTGTCTTCTCTAGAAATCGCTCTGTCGGGTCTCATGAGATCAACAGTGTTTAGTCTCTTGAATCACATCTCTGTTTATCTGTTTTCTAGCTTTCTTGGAATTGTATTTCATAGCTTGAAGTGAAGAAGCTTTTCTTGTTAATTTTCTTTGTTTGCTGTAATTGTCAGGAGAGAAGCAATTTGGTGGAGAAGAGAAGGTGGAGCTCTGTGAGATCATATCTGTGTGGAGATGAATTTAATTCAGTTCTAGCAGAGGAGGATTCAGCTTCTATTAAGAGCTCTGAGGCTACTGTTACACAGCCTGCACCAGAAGAGTTGGTGGAAGAAGGAAACATCCTAAGGGAAGAAACAAATGATTACAAGAAAGATGAACAGCCAAAATCAATTTCTAAATTATTTAGGGAAGATGATGCTGCAATCATTATTCAGTCAGCATTTAGAGACTTTCTGGTTAGTCATTTACGTACCGCAAGAAATTCTGCAAACAAAAAGCACACAGTTTTAGTTTTCTACTATTTGTTTATGATGTTTTTGGATTTCAGAAGATTGAATACCAATAAAGAGAACCCCCATATATATATATATATATATTCATTATTTTAAGAGCTGAAGCGTGAAATTGATGCTGCCTAGAGCAATGAACTTTCTGAACAATCTACCTTATTTTGAATTGGAATTTTTCATCTTAAGATCTATACAATACGTACTTGATTTTCAGGCAAGGCGCCGGGTTTCAATCAACGAGATCCCGACAAAGGATGAAGAGCAGGAGGCTCTTGCTGGGACAGAAAGTCTTGGTAGGGAGTCTCTGGACACATCAATAGAAGCTCAAGCTGGTAATTCCGTGAAAACTTTCTCTATTCCAGAAGAAAGCATTACCGCACATAACTGGCTGCAGCAAAAGTCCAGAGCTCATATTTTGAAGATAAAGGTAAACCAGAAAATAGCTTGAAGTTTTCTGCCATAACTTTTCAATGAGGTGAAGGAATGTATTTCAATGATTGAAGTGGCTCAGATTGAAGGAATGTTTAAGTAATCTTGTGTATAACATGAAAAAATGACAGAAAGACTGGGATGATAGCACAGTGAGTAGCAACATTTCAAAGATGAGAATTCGGAGCAGGCTAGAAGCAACAACCAGGCGGGAAAGAGCCCTCGCTTATGCCTTCTCACAACAGGTACAGCTATTAGCTAAGAACATCAAAGTTTAGAGATGTACTAATAGAGAGTTGTTGAATTGGCTTGTAGCTAAGAATCTGTTCGAAGAAAAGGCAAACGAGGAACGAGAGTGAGCCTAACATGGGCTGGAGCTGGCTAGAGCGTTGGATGGCAACTCGAATTCCAGATAATTCTTCAGTTGAAAACAGCATAAACAATCAGATAGAACCAATTAAAAGTGATGCAAGATATCTTGTCAGGAAGAGACTTTCTGATGTTGCAGGGGAAGAAAAGGAGAGTTGTGGATCTAACGAGGTATCTGTCCAGTTTGATAGCATGTCGATAACTGCATCAAACGAGAAATATGGATGCAGACTGGCTAATAACAGGCTTAAGGCTCCAAGAAATATATCAAGACGAAAGACGGTACCAAGTTATCAGCTCAGGAAAGAGTCCATTGTTAAGGTAATCTTGTCCTTTCTTTACATTAAGGAAAGACCACCCATCAATTTATACCCTTGTGATTTTTGTTAGCTAGAATATTTCAATTATAGATCTCCACTGCGGCAGGCAAGTAAGAAAGATCTAACAAGGGAGACAGGAAAAGTAAAAAATTTCAAGCGCACCAAACTGGGAGACAAGAGAGAAACCAAATGCAGAGATGATGCTACATAATATTTTACCCGCTTCCACTATCAGCTGGACCATGGATCCAACAACAATCAGTATGTAAATCCGAGATGAAATGTTAACAAATAAGTTCCACCTTTACCACATATTTTAGTACTTGTTGCTAGGCGTGTGTAAAATCTTCCATTGAATCCCAGTGTAAATTTTACAAACAAAAAATAATAATAATTTGATTTCATCGAACCTACCTGTACCATTCGGATAGCATAACCGTGTGGCATAAATGAGCTGAGTCCACAAGAAACTGCACTTAATAAGGTCATGGACGTGAGAGCTAAAACGAAAGCCTACAAGCTATAATGACAAGTAGGAAAACAACTTATGCAACGAAAGATTAAGAATGAAGTAACATCACACAACTCCAGCTCATTTAACTCAGAGAAAAGATCTACTAAAAGTTGTCTTCCATGTAAGGACTAAGAATGAAGTATCATCAGAACAAGGATCCCAAATTCGTAGCATCAGGACAAGGAACCCGCAGACGACTTTGGGGGTGGCACAAAATATCTATATCTAATCTAATATAGTTTAGTATTTATTTAAGACAGCATGTATATATTAATTTCAGTATCACCCAGAGAAAACTTCAAAATATAAAAGCTGTCGAATTTTAATACGGGGGTGGTACATGAGACATGCAATCCTTATATAGGCTTTCAATAAAATCAACATCATAAAAGATCTCTTTGGAATTAAAGATACAATCCAAAATGAGTCAATTCACAAAACCTATATCTTATCAATATCTTCATCCTCAAACTCAATATAATCATCGCCAGCACCTTCATCCTCTTCATCAAGACCTCCAGCAATGCCCTCATTGAGACGAGTACTCTCTGGCAGCTCCCCATAGCCTTTAGGAGCCTGGCTTCATCAGCATGTACTTGAGGATCACATCAGCCTTGTCATCCTGATAGTCACGAAGCCCAACAAGTATAATATCACCAGCTGCAATCCAAACCTTCTTGTGCATCTTACCACGGATGTGCAAGACGTTTGGTTCCGTCATACACATGGCCTCACATCTGCCATTACCAAGCATACGAAGCACTTGAGCATACTCCTGCCCATCTTCTTTAAAAACAAGCTCCCGCTTTTCATCATCTGCTTCGTTCTTTCCTCTCTTTCTATTCTTCCCTCCCTTTCCCTTATTCTTCGGCATGGTTTCTGATCTGGCTGCTGTCCCCAGTCAAAAAAAAAAAAAAAGTTATTTGGCATAAACAAAACAAAAAAAAAAATTTAAGCTGAAAAATATTCAACTTTCAAACAATGAACTAAACAATTTGATTGAAAACTAGAATATTAACACGGTTAAGGCACAGAACTGAACTAATTTGGATCTTTATCCAGAGATCACATGGATGGAAAACCCATTTATGCAAAGAAATAAATTTCGAAAAGTTGCATATAAATCAACTTTACAAGGAAAAAAAATAGAAACCTCATTAAGAATGATTGCTGAACAAAATTCAAATGACCAAAGCTTAAGTTTCAACAAAAAACCCGTGAAGAAATATTCCATTTATTTTGAAGAATTAATACTAAAATTTTCCAGAAGACAGTTTCCCCCAACCAAGCCAAGCTTAACACTAAAAGACAGAAGATATAGATATAACCCATGTAAATAAGGTGGTTACTGACAGAATATGAAAAATTCTGCATCATAAAACATGAACTGATTAACGATTCTTCCATAAGATCAGGGAAAACTACAGCTGACGTAAGCATTTATTTAAAGTATTTTCCCTCGTTTTATAACAAATTCTCTTCAAACTCAAATTTTAAAAATCGGAAGAAAAACAGAGGCCTTTAACCTGAAATTCAGTTCAGAAACTAAAACTGCAAGAGCATGCATATCGAGCTAGAATCACACGTGCTAACAAAAAATTAATTGGTATACAGAAAATTAACCAGCGGAAAAATCAATAGATTAATAAACAGACTATTAACATAACCAAATATTTTATCGAACGGGAAACAAACGATCTCTTCTAACATAACAAGATCAACCGGTGGATCACAAAAGATAGTCGTAATCAGAAGCGACGAAGATACAATAAAATTTCCGCAAAGCAAACTAATTATCAGTAAAGATTTCCAAAACAAGAAGAAATACCTTCTTTGCTTAGAGGCGAAGACGATCAGAAATCGGTGGAAATCAATCTGATGCTCGTGGTAAGATATCCTAACCCTAGCTTCTTTTTGTATCCTTCATTGACAAATAGCGGGGACCGACTCGGGTTTTATTTGGTCTGAGCCGACATAGGAAAAGCTCAGCCCAATTGTCGGCAACTTGTGTTGTCAGGCTCCGTGGCCCAGCCCACTACTTGTCTTATTAGATCTTTCGTGAAAGAAGTTAAAAATAAATAAATAAATAATAAATAAAATGAGTATAAGATTGAGACTGGATCATTGAAAAGAATTTTATTTTCTCTATTACAAAATAACTACAATATATCTATATGATTTAATCTGGACATAAAAAGTTGCCGAAAGAAATTTGATTATGTTTACCAAAATCCACTTAATACAATCATAACACAAAATGGTTGATTTACAAAATCAAAAATTCATTATGTTAAATAAATAAAAATATTTACAAATACAGTAAAATAAATAAATAAATTAGAAAGATAAATATAAAAGAAAATTAAAATGTTAATTCATGATATATATATATATATTTTTATTAAATAATACAAAACAAAATTCATGAATCTCTATTATTTCGTTTCCTTTGCAATGATTCCAAAGTTGAAGAAGATGCCAAAAGAATTGTTATTTACAGATGGAGAAAAGGAATATGGTTTTTGAAGTGGATGGATTGCTTTGAATTTGATTCCACAAGACTCTTCTTATTTGCCCTTTGTTTGCTTTGCCAAACTTGAAGAATCATGGTTTAATATAATTGGCCTAATTCAAAATTTAATTTTATATAATAGGAACAGAATTATGATATTGAGAATAACATTATCTTCCGGTAAATACGAAAACAGATTAATTATTATAAATTTATAAAATCGATAAAATTAATTTAGGTATGCATCAAATATATAAATTATTAAAAATTTTGTTTGATTTTTTTTCAACATTTTATTAATTTGATGCAATCAAAATTTTAATTTTGAAGTGTTACCTAACCAAAGCCCAATTAGTCAGAGTTCCCTTAATCTAATCATTCCACTTGTGAGTAACCATGAATCAACAAAGTTCTTTTAACTTTAAACCAAGTCACTTTTATTTTCCGAAAATGATGTTTCTGGAAGAGAGGAGAAAAAAAAAAAAAAAACCTAAATTTATTAAAGGGTTTTTGAATTAAGCTGTCCTCTTTTTTATTTTTTATTTTTTTTATTGCCTTCAGAGGAAGTTGTAACCTTCAAATCTCCCACTCTTTTCGTAGAGAGAAGGGGAACATAACACCACAGGTCATTCCATCAAAAAGAGAAAAAAAAAAAAAAAAAAATCTACCTCCATCATCAAACTTGCACTTAACTTCATTTTTAAGTTTATTTCCAAATCTCTAAAGATCTATATTATAGGAGGAAGATCCTAAAGATATTGTTTCAACATCGAAATCCTAATAAATTTCCGAGATTTCAAGAAATTTGAGAATACCACACATTTGATTTCTTGAACTACTTGCAAGTAAAGATGCCACAATATATGACCAAGATCCTCAAGCATTTGCTTGGACATCTAAATTCCAATAACTTTATAAGATTTCAAGCATATTGAGCATTGCACACTAGATTTTGAACGATTTCATATCTGCAAATTACGAATGAAACTGCTACATTTCACATATCTTTGACGACAAATCATTATCAAGTACAGTCTTGGAAGGGCAGGACTATGTGGTGCCACTAGTGGCACAATATCTACAAGTTAGCAATCATTCAAGTCCAATCTCTGAATGTCCATCAGAGCTAACAAAAAAAGGTACAGTTCTTGAGTAGAGTATATGACTCTACAAAGTAAAAAGAATAAGAGTGCTTTCTGTATGTCCATTAGAACTGACCGAAAAAGTTTACAAGGAGTAGATTGCATGAATCTACAATGTCAAAACACAAAGAGCACTTTATCCTGGAAAGACATGATATTGCAAAATTATACAGTCAATATGTTTTCCTCTTTATGGCTGAGGAAATGGATCTTGAATCACTTTTTTTACAGTAAAACAAGTGGAGACATGGAACGAATGTAAAAAGAAAAAAAAGGTTCCATGCAAAAAAAATTGATAACAGTTGAAGGCAATAAAAAATCATAATGCAGGTCCCATGATATCACGGACCCAAGAAATACCAACTGGATACGACCTATGTATTTTTGTTTTTATATTGGGGAGCTTCTCCCCAGAAACATTGTCCAGATCATTTTTCTTTTTGCTCATTGTCAGTTGTTTATCAATTTCAATTGACTCTTTAGTTTCTGCTATGAATTGGAGGCCCTGAAATTTATTATAGGACTATGTTATTGGAGAATAGAAGGGTAAGAGTTAGGGAAAATGTGATTCATGATCTACCTTGAGCGATTTCTCCCCTTGTGTCCCCGCTGAATCAATGGTTGGCTTTGAACCAACATCCTGACAAGTACAGCAAAAAACCCTAATTAATATGGAGGGAAAACAGTGATTTAATTATCTCCTGTCAAACAAAAAGGACTGCTATAATCAAGAGTTCATAAAATGTGTAACATGAAATCATCAAACCATGT